GGTGGTATCTCATTGTAGTTTCGATTTGCATTTCCCTGAAGCCGAGTGATGTTAAGCATCTTTTCAGTGTCTGCTGGCCATCTGGATGTCTTCTTTGGAGAAATGACCTCTCATGTCCTCTGCCCATTTTTTAATTGGATTATTTGTGGATTTTTTTTGGTGTTGAGTTGTATTAAGTTCTTTATGCATTTTGGATACTAACACTTTATCAGCTATATCACTTGCAAATATCTTCTCCAATTTAGTAGGTTGTCTCTGTTTTGTTAACTGTTTCCTTTGCTGTGCAGAAGCTTTTTATTTTTATGTATTCCCAATATATATTTGCTTTGATTTCCTTTGTCTTAGGAGATGTATCTAGAAAAATGTAGCTACAGCCAATGACAAATTATTGCCTGTGTTCTTTTCTAGGATTTGCATGGTTTTAGGTCTTACATTTAGGTGTTTGAGTTTATTTTTTTTGTATGGTGTAAAAAAGTGATTCCATTTTATTCTTGCACATGTAGCTGTCCAATTTTCCCAGCACCATTTGTTGAAGAGACGTCTTTTTCTCGTTGCATATTCTTGCCTATTTTGTTGAATATTAATTGACTATGTAATCATGGGTTTATTTTTGGGCTTCTATCCTGTTCCACTGATCTATGTATCTATATTTGTGCCAGTACCATATTGTTTTGATTACTACAAATTTGTGGTATATCTTGAAATCTGGGATTGTGATACCTCCAGCTTTGTTTTTTTGTTTTGTTTTGTTTTGTTTTGTTTTTTCAGGGTTGCTTTGGCTATTCATGGTCTTCTGTGGTCCCATACAAATTTTAGGATTATTTGTTCTAGTTCTGTGAAAAATGCTGCTGGTATTTTGATAGGGATTACATTAAATCTGTGGTTGCTTTGGATAATATGGACATTTTAACAATATTTGTTCTCCCAATCCATGAGCATGGGTTATCTTTCCATTTGTGTCATCTTCCATTTCTTTAATCTTTGTTGCATAGCTTTCAGAGTATAGATCTTCACCTCCTTGCCTAAGTTTATTCCTTGGTATTTTATTATTTTTGGCACAATTGTAAGTAGACTATTTCCTTAATTCTCTTTCTGCTACTTCATTATTAGTATATAGAAATGCAACAGATTTCCGTATATTGCAACTTTACTAAATTCATTTATCAGTTCTAGTAGTTTTGGGGTGGAGTCTTTAGGGTTTCCTACATATAGTCATATAGTATCATGTCATTTGCAAGTAGTGAAAATTTTACTTCTTTATCCATTTGGATGCCTTTTATTTCTTTTTCTTGTCTGATTGCTGTGGCCAGGACTTCCAGTACCATATTGAATAAAAATGATGAGAGTGGACACCCATGTCTTGTTCCTGATTTTAGGGGAAAAGCTCTCTGTTTTTCTACCATTGAATATGGTACTAGCTGTGAGTTTTTCATACATGAATGCCTAGATTTTCTTTTAAAGCTTCTCTTATGATTCTATAAGTGTTCAATAACCATTGCCCTACCCTCCCCTTTAAATTGTCCTGAGGACATTACCATAAAACAGCTAGATGCAGATTAGAAGAATCAGACATCTATTTTCTGAAATCCCTCAACTCAAACCTTGGTCACATATCTGATGTTGATTCCCTTTTCTTTCACATTTATGGTGAGTCTGTCTTAGCAGCTAGCTCCATGAGGACTAGGATTGTTTTTGTTCACCAATGTAGACCTAGTACCTAGAACAGAACCTGGCATATAGTAGGCATTCAAAAAGTATTTGCTGAATTGTTGAATAAGTCTGCCATGGGTCAGTGTCCCATTGGTGTTCAGGATTTCCTTGTTGGGTTGTAGACATCACTGGTCTCATTCTGGAAGGCACATGAGGATGGCGATGGGACTCTGAGTTATTGGTGCCCAACAGCTGAGTGAATCTCCAGGATGGCCAAAATGTGTTAACCACATCAACTTAAGATGGGTAGGTGGTCCTAATGTTTTATGCCTTTGAGAGTAGGGTGGATTCTCAAGTTATAAGGACCTGTGGACACATGTCTGATGGATTCTTTTCACAGAGACTGAGACTACTTTAGGGTCTACTCATACTGTAATCTCTGAAGTAAGGGCTGGATCTTCCACGAACATCGAACTCAAGCCAGTTTCTGCAAGATGATGTCACCAGCCTCTTGGAAAGGATTATGACAGAAAAATGATCAGTGTTACCTAAACACAAAGGCCCAGAAGGAAGATTCAAGAGAAAAAATAAGTGGCTACCAAGCAATTTTGAAGCATCTTTCAATTCCTGTCAGAATGCCCCAAAAGTATCCAGAGAGGTGGATTAGGTGGCTGGACTAATATAGATTCTTGTATCATGGCCTCTATGCAGGGGATCACAGGCAAATAAAGCTCACTTTTAGAAGGGCTGAGGTCATAGCCAGTTTTCTGCCGTGGGCTGGCAAGGACAACCAAATGGCTTTTGTTTTTGGTGATACGGAAGAGAGAACTGGACAGAGTTATGTGTTGGTTGCCGTAGGTCAGAACTGGAACCCAGGATAACTGTGATCCTGAATTCATTGAGGCTGATGAGATAAGACTGACCACAGTCAGGATGATTGGCAAATCAGAAATCTGGAATGCAGGCTGCATGAGCAATTGGAACTTTTATTTCTCTGTTTTGCATGTGGAGCACCAGGGCACATTTCCTACTTAACATGAGATTCTCATATAATCCTTACCAGGAGAGGCTATCAGGGAGATGGAAGTGTCAGAACTAGAAGTAAGATTTTGACCCTGTGTCCTACTCTTCCTATGGGGGGAAGCTTTTTAGAATTTCTCTTTAGACTCAAATCATCAAAGCCTCATCATGGTTCATTCATTCAGTTTCCTCCGTTATGAAAGAGGACCCTACATTTTAAGGGTTGGTTGTGTGTTTCCGTGTGTGTGCACGCATAAATGAGTCAATGTATAGAAAGCAATTAGGAAATGGCCTGGCACAAATAAATGCTCAATACATGTTTGCTACTGTTATTCATTAAGTTGTGCTGCTGTTATTTCCTGAGCATCTGCTGCGTCCCAACTGTGTGGCAGATGCTGCAACACCCAGATCTAAACATGGTTCAAACTGAGAGAGGAAGGCCAAATCCTGCTAACTCCTAAAAGGCTTGGCCCCTGGCTGTCTTTCTTGTAGGTGGGAATTGGTTACCTGAGCGTTCAGTTTCTGGTTTTTTTAATCCTTCTCACAGACTTCCCTTTTTTTCTGCTTGATGGGCCTTCTCTACTTTATGAGTGTGGGATGGTTCCAGAAACCTAAATCTGGATACAAAAGAATGGGAGAGATGACCTGTGAGTGATAAACATAGTGGTTCATAGGAGGATCCTGTGGGTGTGAGGCCGGTGGGCTTCCTGGTACGAGTGAGGGGTGTAAGTGTGCCCTTGAAATATGAAAAATATATTTTTAAGATTTCTTATTTATTTATTTGACAGAGAGATCACAAGCAGGCAGAGAGGCAGGCAGGGAGAGAGAAGGAGAAGCAGGCTCCCCGCTGTGCAGAGAGCCCGATGTGGGACTTGATCCCAGGACCCTGGGATCGTGACCTGAGCCAAAAGCAGAGGCTTTAACCCACTGAGCACCCTGAAAAATATTTTAAAAGAAAAGCTTAGGGATATAAGGAAAGGATTGATAGACCCACTGTGGGTGGGGAGATGGTAAATGGAAGTCTTCCTCCACCCTGAGTAATGTCTTTGGAGTTTCTCTGCCATTCACCCAAATGGAACTATTAAATGTCTAACAGGTGCTTACATGCATATGTCTTTTAAAATTCTATTAGCGGGGCGCCTGGGTGGCTCAGTGGGTTAAAGCCTCTGCTTTTGGCTCAGGTCATGAACCAGGGTCCTGGGATCCAGCCCCGCATCCGGCTCTCTGCTCAGCAGGGAGCCTGCTTCCTCCTCTCTCTCTGCCTGCTTCTCTGCCTACTTGTGATCTCTGTCTGTCAAATAAATAAATAAAATCTTTTAAAATAAAAAAATAAATTAAAAAAATAAAATTCTATTAGCAATCCTGTTAACTTAACAATCCTTTCTCCTCCTTTTATTTATTTACTTTTCAATGAGGAATTTGACGATCAAAAAAGCGAAGTGACTTTGCCTAAGGTCAGAGAGTTAGTAGGCAACAAAATAGCTTTGAATTTGGGGCTTGCGATTTCAAATCCGGAGTGCTTTGGCCTAACATCATTATGGGCCGGGAGCCTATAAAAAAAAAACTCAGGCGCGGGGCGCCTGGGTGGCTCAGTGGGTTAAAGCCTCTGCCTTCAGCTCAGGTCATGATCTCAGGGTCCTGGGATCTAGCCCCGCATCGGGCTCTCTGCTCGGCGGGGAGCCTGCTTCCCTCTCTCTCTCTCTCTCTCTCTGCCTGCCTCTCTGCCTACTTGTAATCTCTCTCAAAAAAAAAAAAAAAAAAAAAAACACAACAACAACAAACAAACAAAAAAAACCTCAGGCATTAAGTAGTAAAAGGAGGGCAAGAAAAGAGTTAAGTGAAGGTGTTTCAATGCAGAGGAAGCGGTCCACGTTCCGAGACAGGGGGGAAGGAGAAGGGGCATCTGTGAGAGAGGAAAAGCATTAGAGTCTTGAACCTTCTAAATCCGCTCCTCTCCCACCGCTTTGGCCTCCTCTGGTTGTATACGCTAAGCCAAAGCTGAGGACGGGAAACTGCGCGCAAGGAGGAGCCCCTAAGCACCTGTTGTGTGCGGTGGCTGTGGGTACCCCAGCCCGGACCCCCAGCGTCCATCCACACCCCGGCCAAAGTCCGCGCACAGCTGGACTTTGGAACTCCGCCCCTTGAGGCCCTCCCTCGCCGCCGGCACCCCGCCCCTCCTCCCCAAAGTGGCTCTGGCTCCCAGAAAGAGCGGCGGCCGAGCGGCGGGGACAGGGAGGGAATTGGCTCGCGGCGGCAGCGCTGAAGTTTCTTGCCCGCCGATCTCCCACCCGCTGCCGGCGGCGCGGGCCATGCCGGAGCTCTGGGGCCAGGCGGCAGCATGAAGGGCGGCGACCGGGCTTACACCCGAGGTCCCTCTTTGGGGTGGCTTTTCGTGAAGTGCTGCTGTTGCCTCCGGTGCAGAGGTGAGTGGCTGTCGCCGTTCGCGCCTTCTTTTAGCAAAACCCGGGCCGACGGGGGAGGAGGGAGGAGTTGGGGGGGCGCGGCCGAGGGGGTTCGCTGGGCCCCGCGTTCGCGTCCTCGTCCCCAGCAGAAAGCGGGCTCGCTGGCGGGGAGCTTCTGACTTGGATGCGGAGCTGCAGTTTGGCATCTCAGTTACTTACTTGTCAGCGACTTTGGATGTCAGGACGCCAGCCTGGGGGGGGGGGGGGGGGGGCATTGTGCGGGGGAGCCTCGCCTCGGCCCCCGCAGCTGTGTGTCCCTGTAGTGGCCCAGGCGCACTTCCCTGCTCTCATTTACATATGGATCTCAGCTGAGGGATTAACTAGTGACTCCTAGCTATAGGAATGTGTTTGACACTTGTCTCTACACTAGAAACTATTTTTGCCAAGTGACAATTTTCTTCGGGGACTGCAGCGGGCTTTTCGTTTTTCTCCGCTGGGGCTTTCGCAGGTTCGCTGAGTTTGCAGCTCTGGGACGGAGCTGGGTTCATTAATTAACCAAGAACTCTCTGTGTACCCAATTAGGGCTGTATTTAATTATTCTTCTAATTTTAATGTTGTTGAGGAGTGGCAGGAAGCAACTAATTTCCCCAAAATCAGCCTGCAAAACAAGATGGTGAGAAGGGTCACAGAGAGAAGGTTATCAATTGTGGAGCCTCTCCTGAAAAAGAAATGGGGCTTTTCCTAGGCAGAGTGCCCATATGTTCCTAAAGCTGTTCCTGTCACTTTAACATTTCAGCTTAGAGGGTGGGGGAAGAGAGGTTTTGTTTCTATGTGATTAGAAGGGAGAATACAGCCCCTCACTTGAGATTCTGATATTCGCCCTTTTTAACTTTCACCTATTGGGGTGAAATTTCCCTCCACCCTCATTTACAATGCCCCGATCGCTGGCTTCATTCTCATTTAACAAAGTCCTGATAGAACTTTCTCTCTGAGTTACTGATAAATAAACTTCATCCAAGGAACCCTTAATTGTCCTTGTCTATGCCACACACAGAGCAGAACCCTGACAAATTCTTTACCCTGAGCTGATAGAAGGCTACAACAACTAATTAAACCTGTAGGACATTTTCCCAGTTCCTAATGCCAGCATTAGCCTTTCGGTCTCTGCATTTAATTAGAACAGCCTGGAACTTCGTGGTAACCAGCTCTAAAAGCCAGAATTCGGATAGAGAAGGAATCATAGAAGGCCTGGGACCCTCACCAGAATCTAAGCCTAGTTCAGAAACATTCAAAACCAAGGCTGGGAATTGAAGGAAGGGAACATTAAAAGAGAGAGAAGGCAGGAAATGGCCAAAGAGAATCTCTGAGTGGGTGGGATTGCTCTGAGGGCTGAAGGGTTTCCAAGCAGGATTTCTTGGGAGCCCATTTCCTGTCAAAAGGCAGAATTTGGGGACTTGGGTAGTGCTTTTTCTAAAGCCCCTGCAGCGGCCTGCTTGAATCCAGATGTGTGGCAGCCCCAATTTGCCTGCAGAGCAATTCTCCTGGGTTCTCTCAGTCCTTGGCTCTGATTATGGCCCCAGCTGCCCCTCCCGCTCCAGGCGCGCCCAGGAGGTGGGGGCTGGGGGAGCCAGCCTCCAGCATGCAGGACTGGGAAAGCAGTGGCTGCAGGCTCTGTGGCTTGCAGAGGGGGTGTGGGAGGAAAGAGGGTGTTGCAGGAGCCAGAGCCAGAGCAGGAGGAGACCAATGACCCTCAGCTGAAGATTGAGGGAAGCAAGAGCCCCAAGCAATGAAAGCTGCTTGAAAAGGGAAAGGAGAGTAACAGAGGTGGGTTCCTAGTCATCTTCTCCCACTTTCCTCCAGATTCCTTCCCAGATGTGAGATGTGAAGATGGCAAGCTGGGGCTAAGATCTGAGGAAAATGGGGGGCAGTGAAGTAGCCACCCTTTAAAGAACCCTGGGCCTCAGCTGGGCAGGGCGATCAGATCACGATTGTGTCTGAGGTATGCGGCACTACGCTGAGGCTCTTTAGGTCTGCTCTAACAGAAAAGAGAGATCCCAATGGAGACTAAAGGCATCTATTCTATTCGGAAGCTGACTGCAAAGATAGGTCTTGTACTGAGTTTGAGCACCTTGCCCAGAGCCCCAGAAACTTGCCTAGTTGCCTAGTTGCAACATGGAGAAGGGCTCAGAGAAGTCTGAGAGGTTGGCGGGCGTGGAGGGCAGTGCCGCCCGGGACTGCGGCCTCTCTTTTCAGTTGAACCAGTTCCTCTGGTTGTACAGACTTCATACAATTGAAAGGCAGCTTCCCCTTTTCAATAAGGGCAGCTGGCTGTTTGGCCTCTCTCTCTTCTCCCGAGAGAACTTGGCTGTCCTGCTCCAGGAGCTGTGCTCTGAAACCGGAGGGTCGGAACCCACTACTACAGTTCCCAAGTCTAGGGGCCTTCCCCCCGCTGGCTTCCGGTCACTCAGAATTCAAAGGGTAGAGGAAAATCTAAGAAAAGACCTTCTGAAGTCTGAGGAAAAGAGGAAGTAGAATGTTCTGGCTATTTTTGACCAACCTAAAGCTAAGTGAGGCATCCTGGACTTTCTCTGGTGAACCCTAAGTGGTTGTAATTGTTAGCACACGGTTGAGAGTCAAGGTCTTAGTGATGGACCTGTGTGGTCTTTAAATATCATATTTGAGGAAAATGTGGGAGAAACTAGTTGAGCTTGTCTTTTGATTTGGAAAAGTGAGGAAAGCTACTATCTCATTGTCTCTCTTGGTTTTTGGTTCTAGTGAGTATGAGGATGGTAAAGGGGTTTGGTGCAAGGTGATCTTTCTTCCCTCCCCTGAAATTGGTGCGGAAGGGCAGGAAAACCGAAAACCAGGGGTAAGATGAAAACAGAGATGAGGTGAAAAGGAAGACAGACAGCAAATACATTTATAACTGCCTTTTTGGAAGTGAAAAAGGGCCAAATGTGAGCTAATAGCATGTATATGTGTCTAAAGGCTGATTAATCATTGATGTCACACTTTGCGGGAAGTTTTGGGATTGCTCTGGCTACTTAGACTTTCCTTTAAGCTTGAAGAAGTGGGTCAGCTCTGGATTCTTCTTCAGTTATCTTAAATTTTTAAAAAGCACCTCGTTTCAGAGATGAAAAGGAATTGAAATCACCAGGATATACCTAAGTTCTGTGCTGCAGACTGGAATTTGTGACTTCTAAGATCATGGAGCCCAGACATTTTTTCTGACCTTGCTAGGGTGAAAGCCAGTTTTAGAGCCTTTAGTTTTCTAGTCCACTTGTAATTAACTTTGGGTGTGTGGACCAAAGAAAGTCCTTTCTTGGAAACCCTTATGCCCAGGGTTTATTTATATTTGTTTATTACTGTATCACCGTCCCTGCATCTCAAGCCCACGTGCCATTGTGTGTCCCCGTTTATGCTGCAAGTGCCCAGTTCAGGCATCTGAGTCTCTCAGAAAGAGAGGAAGGAGCGGTGACTGAACCGGACTGAATCAGCCAAGAGGGGAGGCGCCCGGATCACATTCCCATGGTTTTTTCAACACAAGGGCAGTTGGGCTCCAGCCTGAGTCTGACATCATGGGGCTGGGGTAAGGGCCGTGGGGCTTCACAGGGCCTCCCAAGTCATCGTCAGCTGTAAGCTCTCTTTTCCCCCTACCTTTTCCCAGAATGACTATGCAGGGACCTCATGACTTGATGTGAATGTCTCTTCTTTGGCCTATAAATGAAGATAGCTTATTTTATAGACTGAATTTGATGTGTGAAAGCATGACATCAAGTTCCTTTAGAAAGGTGCTGGTAACCTCAAAGAGAAACCCTTGTGACATTCACTATTAGTGACTTAATTCACCACTCCACAGAAGCACAAAAATCCTTAGGGCCTTAATGCACATTCTCTTTTGTTTCTTCATCTCTGGGGACATGCCTGTACCACAAAGAAAGCAGAATCAACCATTTAGCATGTATGTTTTTCCAGTGTATCTCTTGGTTTTTCTGCCTCCTGGGGAGATACCCAGACATGGGGAGAATTACCACACACACCAACCGCCCCTAACCCAAATCCTGTTTCCTTTCCCCGATGTGATTCTCTGACTAGGGAGTAGCAAGAAGGATGTCAGTTATTACCTGAATAACAGTACTGACTGCCAATTGTATGTCCCTTGTAGAAATAGGAGTGTTTGGGTTCAGTGGGATGAGGTGGAAACTGGCAACAGAACCCGAATAGCCCTCCTCTGCTACAGCTGTAGGTCCTACAATCACCAAAAATGCTGTAGACATCACCCCTGTGGTTGCATGTGCTACAGGTTGGTTGGTCCTAATGTGGAATAAAAAGGTAAAAATTCAGACTCTGTATCTGTATTTTTATGCCAAGTGATTTTAAAGTTAAAAAATAAAAGTGAACATTGGGGATTCACTTCCAAGCCCCCTATTAGAGTCAATAACACCCCAGAGAGGTGTTATTGATATTCTCCTTCATGATAGTTCCCCTTGAGAATCTTGATGCTGGTCTGTTCTGCCCTGAAGGTATTCCTCATCCATCGAGGTCCTGCTCCTCTTTCAATGAGTGAGTGCCTGCATGGCCTGCCCTCTTAGACTTTTCCTAAAGGAGGGCCCTAGAAAAAGCATGGATCTGAAACCCAAGGGAGGGCTTCTCAAATAGAAGGGGCTAAATCACAGAAAGTTAGAGATCACTTAACAGATCTTCTTTGATAGAGGAGGACACTGAGAGCCACTTAGTAGCAGGTCAGAACAGAGCCCTTTTCCTGTGCTCTTCCCTCAGTGTCATTATTGTCTTCCTGGGCATGTGGTTTCTCCTACTATGGGCACAGATGAGGTAGAGCCAACCAAGAAGGGTAGAGGCAAACCCTAGACTGGAATTTAGGTGTTGACTGTGGATTATCTGCAGTTCTGGGGGATGACTGCATTGCCTGGAGCCATTTGGAACTTGACCTGCCTGGTCTGCTTTGAAGTCCTCTTCTGTCCCAAGACCACGGAAGGCAAAGACGGTCACATCTCTGTCTG